TTTAGTTTCTTGTCTTGTGGCAATAGCCATTCCAGTTTCCTTTTAATATACCTACTTGTTTATATTTTGACTTATTATATCGAGATAGCCTTTTGGTGTATATTTTTCTTCATCAAGTCTTTGTCCTTGACAGAATAATAAATTGCTTTAATAAGTCTATTCTTTGTATCATCATCAACAATAAATCTTTGACAATATCTTTTAATCTATACCAAAATTGATTGATAAGAATCTTGTCATTCTAATCTACATTGCAAGTAAGGTTTTAGAATTCAATTACATATATGGTGGCTAAATATAATCTTTGTCATAAGAATGTAAGTTTGGTTTTTGCTACTTTTTTTCAATCACTTTCTTCAAATGTGGCTATGAAGACTTTTAAAAATAAATTTAAATTACAAAATAATTACAAATCTTTTTCTATCAAAGGTACAATCAAAGAGAGAGTACTTCCAAAGAAAAGTGCACCTATAAATTCAACTTGAATAAATACATCAAGATATTAAGAATGATGCAATGTTATATAGAACTTTATTTATTATAAAAATCCTTAAAAATTTGATCTTGTTTTATCAAACTTCTCTAGTATACTTATCTTTGTTTCTCTTATACTTATAATGGCAAGATTTCTTAGATTTATTTATAGATTTGATCTACTTGCTTCTTTTAATTACATAATTTCTTAGCATAGACTTTGAACTTTATTATTGATTTCTTCTATAAGCATTGGAATACTACATCCATGGTTGATGTTAGAGATATGTGCGGTTTCATTCCTAAGAATATTGACAAGCTCATAAAGATCTACAATGGTTACAAATCTATTTTCACCTCCACTAAATATAGCATCTATAATTTTTTTTCTATAGATAACTTAAAATAAATCTATAAGTCAAATTAATAGAAGATAATGTGCAACCTTTAATATCAAATAAAAATTTCTACAAACAAAGGTAGTTTTTTGGAACTAAAATGTTAGATTGAAGGTAGATAGTCTACAATCTTCAAAACACAATAATAGAAGTAGAATAGTCGACTTATTTTTTAAAATAAGATAAGAACAATAAATTAGCATTCTTGTCAAATTATCAAAGACATCAATCTCAAAAACTAAAAGATCAATATACTCTTGTGTCACTTGAAAAGGATTAAAAATCATTCAATGATAGTATGATATTAAACTAGAATGACTATTGCTAAAGACAAGGAGATTAGAAAATCTTAAAATAAGACTAAGGACTAAAAAGGCATTGACAAGAGTGAAAAAGACTTCACTCTTGCTTCCATATGTACTATCTAATTAGAAGCTATATGGCAATGTTCTATAGAACCTCCAATACATGTTCAATTTGGAAGACATATGTCTTAACTTGCAAGGTAATTTTTTTATATGTAATCCATATCGTTAACTTGTACCACAAGCTACCAACATGTGTGATATATAGCTAAGTTGTTAGCCAAGTTGTCAACATAGCAATTGCCTATAGACACATATAAAGGTGAAATTACGTTTATGAAGCTTTTAGGATATATAAGCATGTAGAATAATAAATCTTTATAACAAAGAATTTTAAAAAGTCTAAAATATATTTATAAAAGATACCTAGAGTTGGCAAAAATTGGTATTTGTTTTATAAAATGATGTACCATAATATTGTATATTTTTTGTATTAATGGTAAAAACTTTATTCTATTATCTTGATAATTATTAATAATATATTATAAATATTATTTTAATACTTAATTGACATGTTTTATTTTTTCATTAGCTTAAAGAAAAAAACTAAAAATACCTTTATATTAATTTTTAATATGTTAAAAAAAAACTTTATTAAATCTTGGCACAATTTTTTATTTTTATTCATATAAAATATCAAATGGAAGTTTATAATATCAATGAGTGTTATTTTTTAAATAATTATTTTATTTATTATATTCTAATATAAAAATTATGAATTTAGTTAAAAAATCCTTAATTAGAAAAATAAAATTTTAAGAATTTAAAATTATAAAATCTTTGATAAAATCCTTTAATACAGATGATCATAATTATGACATAATTAAAATACAAATAGCTATATTTTATGTTTAAGAATATATAAACTTTTTTATAATACAAAAGATTGTCTTCAAAATTAACTTTATAATGATTATTGAAAAAGACATCTTAAGTATCTAAAATTATAGAAGTTGGTGTACTAAAATAATTTTTATCAATAAAAGTAGTATCATTTAAAATATTCACTTTATTTCTTAGAGATGAAATTTCTTTGGTTTTAAAATAATAGATTATTATTCATCACACATGACATAATTCATCTTATATAAATGTGGTTTTTTAGAAAATATGTAATGTTAAATACAAATTTCAACAAAGATATGACTTTGGACTTAGTGACAATTTTTGACATATGTTGACATAAAATGCTCAAGGATTTTGTGATTAGTTGAAATTGTAAATATATTAGAGGCTTCTTCTAGATAATGTCACCATACTAAAAATAAATCTATGATATTAAGTAATTCTTTGTTATGGTTCTTATTATTATATTTCTTAGAATTTTTGTATTTGAATTCTTTTAAGTATAGATGTAACAAATTAATTTTTAGTATTATTAATTTAAAATATTAAAAATGAATTAATTTTAATATTATTTAATTAAAAAAATAGAAATATTATTTTGTAGATATATATTTAAATAAATATTTTAGAGAATGTTTTCAAAATATACTATGTCAAAATTTATAATAAAACAACAACTACAATAATTAAAATAAAATATGAAATTTTCAAAGTGTTACTTAAGAAAAATAAAAAAAGAAAAAAAATCAAACAAACAAATAAAAAAATTCTATCTTAAAAACTATTATTTTTATTACTATAATTAAAATTTTATTTTAAAATACACCTTATTTATCTTCATTATAAAATACTAAATATTTTAAACTATGATAGACTTTTATACTTTATTATTTTAAATAATTAATTTATATCATATAATATGAATGTAGTAAATACAATTATATTATCACCATAATATCTGAATTTAAAAGACATATATATGTATATATATATATATATATATATATATATATATATATTTATCTATATATAAAATTCTATTTAATTATTAAGAACCTATATTTTATTTTAAATATAATTTTAATTTTAATTTTAATTTATATAAGAAAATATTTAAAGATTTTATTAGTTTTTTAATTTGAAATTGTAAAAATACTAACTTATTAAATTGAGATTATGGTTGATTAAAGAAACTTTCTAAAGAAATGTAACACTATCAAAAATACATATTAATTAGACATTATTAATTAGGTTATAAATATAAATTAATCAGATTATCTTATGCAGTAATAGTAGCAAGATTTAAAATATATACACCTATTTAGTTACTTTTGGATGTAAAAGGATCTAAAATAATTATACAAGCTTAAAGAAAATACTAATTTTAGTAAATTATATTTTATCTTACTATGTTTGTTTATAAATATTATATAATTATTAATGTTACTCAATGAATTATAATATATTTATAATTTTTCTTTTAATCTTTTATCTATCTAAGTATTAAATACTAATATTAAAAATATAACTTTAAGAATTTAATTATTTTTTCAATGTAAATATTTAATAAAAAATAAAGAATATTAATTTTTTTAATTATTTATGACTTATATAATTTATTTTTTCTAAAAATTATTTATATACATCTAAATTTATATTTGTAATATAATTACCTATAATTTATAAATCTAAAAAAAAATGTACATTGATTAGTTTTAAAGAATTAAGAAAATTAAACATTTGAACTATATTATATTATAATTTATAAATTTTGGTTATTTAATATAAATAATAATTAAAATTTATATTATAAATTTATATTTATAAATAAGAAAAATGTTATATGATAGTGATTTATATTAAAATATTTATTATAATTAGTTATATATAAAAAATTATGATAATTACATTTAACATATGGATTAAATAAATAAAAAAAAGATAATTAAAGATAAATAAGATAGAATGGTTATTATTTGCTTTCGAATAGTTTTATAAATTTTTTGAAAATTTATTAATATTATAATATTTTAATTTTAACCAAGTAATATTAAGACCTTAATATACTATAAAATTTTACAAATTTATATTTTACATCTAATAAAATATAACTTAAATTAATTGGAGCTATTTTCAAAATATAATTTTGAAAGAAGACAACAATAGAAGTAATTAAAATTATCCAAGTTTTTTAAAGAATTGTTTTACAGTTAAAATGTAATGCATTAATTTTTTTTTAATTTTTTTTAGTTTTTATACTTTCTAAAATGGTGAAACTACTACTTGTTTTGCAATTCCAAATCAAATTCTTTATTATCCAACTTGCAATTGTACTAATATGTATATCAACAAGTTACTACTTATTAGTTTGTTAATTAATATTATTATTTTTCATTGTTGTCTTCTTAATTTATAAATATCTATTTGTTTTACACATGGTTGTATTAAACATTACAAATGATAATTAACTTGTCTTAGTCTTAGATTTACAAATTTGTCTAGTTTTTTTTTTTTTTTTTTTTTCATTTTACTTTTCTATAACAATTGTCTTTAAAGTAGAATCAAAAATTCAAAATAATGCATATATACCTAAATTTTAATTTAATGCATACAAAACTATATGAAAGCTTCAAAATAAATCTTCCAATATTCATTCACCTCCCCAACTATCCACTAAAATAAAATAAAAAAATCGCTGAACTATTGTCTATCCACGTTGTTTTCTCGAATCGAGTTGGCGCACTTAAATGCAGTTTCCTAATTTTCCACCCACTCAAACACCCACCATCGAAACTTTATTCACCATCTAGCAAGACGGACACACCACCCCCACTTTCATTAATAACTATAATATTCACGAGTATTTGAATTCTTTTGAAATGCCTACGTCTATCGCTGTAGAGGCCCCGCCGATCAGCTGATTGTGGCGCTGGGAGGATTTTCCCTCCCATCATTCGGTGCCGTGCGTGGAGCGGATGCCTCACTTTGATGGCGGATCCTTGGAACCACGAGCCGTTTTTGAAGCTATTTAGCCTTTTTCTATACCTGGGGAGCGAGCAGTTGAATGGTCAGACAGAGTCTTCTTTTTATAAACATTTCTTTAGCCAGGTTGTTCCGACCGCACAAGCTTCCACACTGAAGCAATTAATTGTGGCCTGCAAATGCCTGTTCGATTTTTCTTTTTCGTTCAGGGAGTTCGTCTTTTGTTGAAGAACAGGCATATTCGATGAATGGGCTACTTCGTGAAGTGGCAAGTGGAATTCGCTCATATAGAGGGGCTGCCAAGCATGCGGATGCGCTGGGAGATTTAGCTAGGGCTGCAGTGTAGTTTTTGTGCTCAATGGAGAGTTTGGTTGGTGAGTGGATTGATAGGGGGGAAGCAGAGGAAGCAGAAGCAGGACGTCGCGACGTTATCTGTCTCGTCTGCATGCCATTGAGTGGAGGAATGGTGCGCGAGGCATTGATTCTGGTAGAGTAATTATTTATAAATTGTGATCAGTTGAGTTTTCTCTTTTTGGATTAAATATCAAGCACGGTTCGTTAAGAAGAAACATGATCCCGAGGTGCGGCTATTTTGCAGTCCAGATTGCAAGAATTGCTGTTGATGGTATCGCACTTGGCAGTGACAGGTCGGAGGGGGGTTGAACTGACAGGAATTTATTGTTGTTCAGTCCCTTCAATTCAAATTGGTAGCGATCCGAGGTTTTCGGGTCATGGTTTGAACCTCTTGTTGCTGCCGGCCTACATACTGGAAATTTTTGGAATCTGCGATTTCTCAGCTTCTTTGGAAACAGTGACGCAGCTACGACGTAGTTAACGTCTCAGGATTGTAGTGAAGAGGAGTGAGCAACACTCCTCTTGCAGCTTTTGAGGATATCATGAACCAGAGCCTTGCAGAGGATCCTGCGCGGGCGCCGCTGTTGGATCGTCTTCTGAATGAAGAGGCATTTCAATCAGGAATGATTTTCTCCCACGCTGAGAATCCTTCCAACGAGGTTTTAAGGCACAGGGCGACAGCACAGGACCAAGAGCGATGCATTGACATTGACGACCATAATCGCAAGGACAATCAAGCATTGGTGCGCACGTTGTCGCACGCGCGTGATGAGCTGCGCTACTTTCGGAATGGACTACGCTGCCTTGGTCTCGATCAGTCCTCGAAGCTCAAAGTGACCTTGTCGTGGATATTGTTTGCTCTGTTTACTTTCATCGTGCCTTTTGTGAACCTTACTTCTGTGTCGTGCCCCGACTGCGATCCTCAACACCGACACCCGTTTGAGGGTCTTGTGCAACTTGCTGAAACCGCCTTAGCCGCAGTCTCTTTCGTGTGCTTGTCCCATATTGTGCGCAGACATGGCTTGCGTCGGACCCTGTTCCTCGATAGGATTGTGCGTGAGTCCCACGAGGTCCGGGCTGGATATGAATCGGAGCTTCATGTGAGTCCAAATACTTCATCAGTACTTCACTCTTTCTTTCGGATTGAATTGTAGAGTTTTACCCTTCCTTTCATCATGGTCTTTCTGACCTTTGACCACGCTCCTACCTCTTGACAAGTAGATCAAATTCGTGTGTCAGGGTTTTGTCCTCGGTGAGTGGATTAATGATTGGGAAGTAGATGCTTCAGTTGTCGCATGATGATTTATAAGTGGGAGTATGATAGTTGGAATTTTCAAGCGAGCTTGTCGTTTTAGGGTTGACAATTATACTTGGTCATGGTTGAACTTTACCTACCATCAATTGACAGACGCCATCACTCTTTCTAATGTTAAGGTTTGCATTTTACTGTGGATCTGTTGCTGCAACTTCATCTTTTTCTACAGTTTCGGTTACAGAGTCTAAACGTTACACATGAATGCGATTCGAATGTTCATTTTATAAAGTTCTCTAGTCTTCTAAGTCTAAGAAATAATTGTTTAGGTGGTGAATGAAGCAGCATTTATGTTCAGTACTTGTTGATTTTGTTTCCAATTCCTCTTGATTTAGTTAGTTCGTTTAATTTTATTCCTTTAGTTAGCACTGCTTCTTGAGACAAGTCAGCAATTATTTTAGTGCGTCATAACTGTGTCATATGTCGTCGGATTTCCGAAAACCAGATCTAATGTCTTTTGTTTTTTCTGTAAAGAATCTTTATTCAAAATTGATCTCGCAAGTTGTTACTGGGATGTTAACAATGTAATAGATGTTCGTTCAAGCATCACTTGAAAGGACATCCTATGCACGAACTGATTGTACTGGAAGTAACGTTTTACAGGGCGCATTTTCACTTCTCGGTTCATTCCTCTTGCCAATTGCACTTATCGAAATCGCCTTTCGAGTATGGTGGTACTATTACGTGACCGTCTCAATCCCTTTCATCGAGAGTCACCGCAGGCTCAAGATCATTCTCAACGTTGTCCTCTGTTCCTGTGGATTGCTGTCATGGCTATATCGGACTTCTGTGTTCCTTTTCACATGTATCTTGTTCCGGCTTATGTGCCACCTTCAAATCCTTCGCCTCAAAGGTTACATCAAGCTCCTCGAGACAACGTCCAATGTATCGATTATCCTATCTGAGCATATGCGCATCCGGAGCCAATTGACCATCATAAGTCACAGATTTCGTGCGTTCCTAGTAGCGGCATCTTTCACCATCAGCTTCAGCCAAGTGTGGTCTGCGTTTGTACTTCTCAGTTCATATGAAAAGTTCAATTTCTTTCGCGCCGGTGATCTTGTTGTAAGTCACTCGAGGTTACGTCCTTCCTTATGCTGGTTTTACAGCACAACCACATTTCAATGATAATTACATTTTCCATTTTACATTTTATCATGTCAAGCGTGTGATGTTTTGTGATTTCAGCATCTAATTGCAGCTCTCTATTTGTAGGTTTGTTCCGTGGTGCAGCTAACTGGGTTAATGCTTTGCTTGAATGGAGCTGCAAAGATCACTCATAGGGCACAACGAATCATTGGAATTGTGAGCCAATGGCATGCCTTAGCAACTTGCAATCCTCATGCAGTAACAGATTCGCAAAGAACTGGCGAGGGCGATTCTAATGATCCTGCTCTATGGTCGTCCACTATTCGTGGGCCTGCTCACCCATGCGTGTACAATGACTCCTCCGACGAGAGTGACAGTGATGATGAGGAACAATCGCCCCGCCACTCCACCAGTATTAAACAAGCCTTTCACGACATGGAGAATTACCAGAAGCGTCATGCCCTGTGTAAGAATCACCTTGCTTCAGAACGGCCATATATTATCATTTATTTCAGACCACGACCTGACGATTTATTAGTTCCTCCATTATCATCATATTGGAGCAATGAATGGTGCACCACGCACAATACAATTTATCATCTCTCAATCAGGCCATTGTCACATCTCTGAGCTAATTTGCTTCGCGTTTCATTGCAGTGTGTTATTTGCAGCAGGCGAAAGCTGGGGTTTCCTTGTACGGATGTGTTCTAGACCGAGGCTTCCTGTATGGGATATTTGCATGCACGTTCTCGCTTATCCTCGTCATCCTTGGTAAAACTATCATCACTTGAGCCCGGACATCATCGTTGGTGATTTTATCATGTATTCTAAGCAGTAGGTTAATTGCGATTATTGAAGTACATATGAGTGGATTGAAAAGTTAAAAACACATCGAATGAGCCAGTTTTATTTTAGTTGGATAAAGTTGTGAAAAGCAAAACATGTAGATCTTGTATAAGAACTTCGTTTGGACGTGAAAATTAAGGCACATTTACAGTTGTCGACGAAAAGTGCACAGCAATTACTCTCACGAAAAAGGGAGCTTATACAAATTATTGTCACCTCCTCTGGTTGAGGAACCGAATTAGATATCATTATGTGACTGCATCCAACATTAAATTGATAAGAGCCCTAAGGTCACACATCTTGAAACTGGATCTTTAAGAATAGAAAGTTGGATTTAGGTGGAGAGTTGAAAATGGGGAGCGGATGATCACCCATTGTTGTAACCGCTGTTGGTAATTGAAGTTGTTTTTTCTTGTCATACAGACTATTGGATGAGAAGATTGTGGGAGGGCTGGAAGGGATGACTTTAGCCGGGCGAATCTTTCTCCGCACTTTTGTGTAGGTACAAATCTTGTCTCCCACTGTCACGTCGTCCAAACTGCCTGCTCAAGCTCAAGTATAACATGCTGAAGTAACACTTGGAAGACTTGTAATTGTACCAGAAGAAATGGATTCATGGAGTTCTTAGTTTTTTTTTGTTAATCTACCTGCTGGATGATTCCAGCCATCTAGAATTATGACCCGACATAGTTATTACATTTATTGGAAGTCTAAAACTATAAAGCAATGAACGTCATGACATGGAGGTTGTTGCTAGAACATAACAGACACTACTTGATCACAGTAAACGCATCGGTTATGATACAACCTTTCCTCCGAAAAAGTTTGCTCGGAATCTGGCAGTTGGAGTTTGTACACAAGTCTAATGCGATCTGTCTGGCAAAGCTGCTCGGGCAAGTCCCGCTGCTAATGCGCAAGTGATTTAGGAAAGAGCTTAAAGTATGGTTACAGGAGTACTAAACACAAGGGAGAGGACATCAGATGAAGGCATACTGTGAGGAGAAAACCTGTCTGGAAGAACATTTAGTATGATCATCCTTTACCTCTCATTTTCCATGCCTAGAAACACAGTATCAATCTGGGAGCACATGTAGTATCATAGCATTTACAAGCAGTGAAGGAAACATATAAATATAGTTGGCCATTTATAACAGTTTTCACGAGAGGCATTGTCGCCTGAAACCAGCGATTGGTCAGAAGAACTGACACCTAGAAGACGTACCGATCAGAGTTAGATTATCGACCTCCAACACTGCTAATAAGCATATCCCTATGTAGTACAGAAAATGGAGTCAGTACATTCTAAACACTCAATAGAATGGAAATTTCTTGATAGGCATCTCCTTCAATGCTTCGAATTGTTTTTCTACGCAGATACAAACGAGTGGCAGCCTTGGGTTGTGATCATGTAACCAGTGGGCCAGCCATCTCTTAGGAAAATCTAGTGAAGGTGTAGAACCAACAGTTAATAAGATCCAGGCAGCAGAACATATCGGTTGTTGCCGATGAGGCATGTGCAAATATAACGTACTGAATGTGACAATTTTCTGAACTGCATCTCTCAATCTTTCGTGCATAATGATGCAGTTATTTTACGAGCAGAGTGGATTTAAACTATAGTACTATCATAAAATGATCACTGGATTACAATCAGGGCTTAATTGCTAAGAACAAAAATATTATAGTAGCTATTAATGGACAAATATATTTAAAGGGATACAACTGCAGCATTGGGTTCCGAAGCAGGCTTGGCCTTGGCAAGCGCCGTCAAGCCTTTGAGCAATAGGGGTTGTACATGCTCCTTAAAGTATGAGGCAGCGTCTTGAGAAGAAGGATATGGCTCCAATATCACTGCAATATGAAAAAGTATGAAATAATTAGACTACAGATACACAAATAGCAATAGAGGACGGCAAATAGACATACATGTTCTTGAATGGATTATAAATTTTGTCACATTCAGAGACGGTACAAGATTCTGACTAAAAGATCTGAACAAAATAGAGACTTTTCAAGCAAGCTTGCTAGTTTTGTTCAGATCCTTTGGTCAGAAACTTGGAAATAGAGACTCTACAAGACCCTTCAAGCTAGCTTCTCTCTTCAGTCCTTTAACGTGAATAGGAGCGAACCTTGGCAGCGCTAGCATGTACTTCAATCGCTGTGTTGAATCACAACTGTGGAACTTAAATCCATGTAGACATTTACACGTCTGAAATATCTCTCTAAATTCAGCAGTTCAAGAATCTCTAAAACTTCTCACTAATAACAGATTGTAGGGTCCGAAAGTACCTGTTGGAAAGAAAAATTTTATTTCCCATTCAGCTTCTTTTACAGTGTCACTGCCATGAACTGCATTCATCCGGCCATCTGTACCATACAATGCCCGGATCCTGCCAAGCTACGAAAGCTGCAAATGTCAGAAGGATCGAAGCACCTCCAACTCAATGTAGTTGAACAATTACTTCAGAGACATGGCAGTACGAGATCATTAAGACGTGCTGGAACTTCGTCTGCAGTTCAACAAAGTTGCTCACTAACCAGATCCAACCAGTAATTCGATAAATTGAGCCCAATCATAAACATCCAACTGATGAGAAATAAACAGCTACACCTATCCTTCAGAACAGTGGCCTGAGAACCTACGATAGGAGAATCTGTCAGCTTGTCCGTACTGATATATAACAGACACCAACCTGACGCATCTGTAAATGAATTTCAGTCTAATATCTGGTTTATGAATTATTTCTCTGAAAGAGCAGGTAATGCAATCCTACGTTTGAGGAGCTTCTCTGCGTGCACGATTGGAGTCTTTGGGACCTAGCAGCGCACGGAATGCTCGACAGCAATTATCTTTCACCAACACCATGCAATGAATCGACCGGCTGCATGGACCATGATAGTGTAATAGGTTGAAGGTAAATTTTCAATTCCAGCTCATGAGTAATAAATTTTAGAAAATACGCAAGTTAAGCTGCAGTAAGCAATCAGATAAAATGACAACGATTTCAAGCTTACTGTGCTTTCATGGCCACGATGTGGAAAATGCTTACAGTACCTCATTTCATATTATTCATGAGACAAAGACTCGTAGAGCACCTTATCATGAAGCGGATAAGTGTCTCAAAGTATGGCATCTGAGAATGGGCTCGATAGAACTGCTCTGCCCGCACACGCGTGAGCTGAAACATAAGAAGTTCAATTATTACATTTGAGTTGAACAGATGTTACTGTGGACCGATATAAGGTGGAAAACCAAACAATGGTGATGCCAGATGAAAAACTTGGAAGCCCCTGGTCACAGGAAAACAAGCATTGGCTCGTTCACTATTGCTGAAAGCAATGTTTCTAGTAAGGAACCAGTATAAGGATATTAAAACATTACAATCCGCCTATTCATAACCAGGCATGCATGTATGTTCTGTGGTGATACTTGAGCAGTCCCATCTTGATGAAGACGCTGTAATTAAACATTTCTGGTTAACAATATGTTTGGCTAATTGGTCAATTTAATATAATTGTCCGTTAGGTCTTTCAATTTAATACACAAATTTTCATGACAATTCGTAGGAGTGCTAAAGATCACCTTCAATATAGAATTCAAGGCACATAGAAGAGACGTATTATCTGACACCTTTTAAGCCTTCGAGGTAGATTGCATTCCAAGAAAAAAATGAAGATCTATATGTCTCATCGTCATATCTATTTCAAGTTCCAAACACAACCTACTTCTAAATTCATGAATTATCACACGTTTCAAAATAGCTGATACTGTCTACAATCGGACCGAAGATCAACTTTAGGTACTCAGAGGAAAGTTGTTGCAGGCAACAGTATCATGTGTGAAGGTTCACAAATTCTTTAAACTTCAGACGCTACAATGAAAGGAGGTTGATACCAAGCGATCGGTTCTACGAAAGTTGATTTTGGAAGGCATCAGATCCCAGGACTTTACCTTAAAAGTAGCTTCGGCGATGACATTGAAGCCGAACATGTGAATCATATGGCAGATATTCTGCTTGTAGCCCAGACGCATGGCATCAGGCTTGATGATGCACAGCGTCGAATCCATCGGAAACAAAGCACTCGTGACTCTCACCATCTTGACCGAGTTTACTTCGACTCTTATAGGCGAGAAACGGGCGGATTGTTCAGGCTTGGTTACGCCTAAACGCCGTTAATCCACACCTGGTTTTTTTGAGAACATAGCCTTCTTTCAGACATGAGTTTATTGTACGGTTTGGTTTTCTACTCCAGTGCTAACCTGCAGCTTATCATCCTACCATATTCCACTAAACGCGGCTAAACCCTTGGACTTCTAGGGCGGGCGTTGTAACAAATGGCTCCAGAGATGTGCCATAAACACAACGAAAGACAGACGACAGAAATTACCGCCTACGGAACAATTAGATGAAAACAATAGTAACGGGTATACAGGCACGCATCGGGAAAGACATTACGTGAACCTAGATCCTTGAAATTATTACGTCGTTATGTAGCTCCCGCTGGAACGAATTGTTGAACAAAACTTACTGAAACCGTAGCCTCAAATTCACAAACCTTACATCTACAGCTAGCGTGATAAAGTTCATTCCGTCCACACACTCACAAAGTGTAATTGGACTATTTTCATGAAAATGCTATCCATCTCATATAGTGGAAAGGAACCAACTTCAAAATCCAGTAAACCTCCACTACGCTTAAATTGCCGAAAACAATATAAATTCCTAACTTTCGAATAGAAAACACCCACGCCTTCTACAACTAATTACAAATCAAACACACCCACATTCTTTCACAAACTTCCGAGCAGCGCTACAGCGCAAACTGGAAAAAAAAACCCCCCGCAACAACAGGGAAAACCTCACATACTACAAATTCACTAAACCTGAGGTGTTCAAACTTCTAACACGTATACCCAACACATCTGTCGCAATACAAGACTTGAGAGAGATGCTAGGAGTCACCTTTCGTTCGTAAACGTAGCCGGTATGAGCAGAATTACGCTCCTTCTTTTGCAGCGTGTTAAGCAGGATCGTTGCTGTTGCCAGCGCTCCACAATGTCCGCTTCCCTAAATTAAGGACCCTCAGAAATCTCTGGCACACCGGAGAGCCGGAGAGCAAGAGAGGCACAAAGAGGCATCAGGAACTTGGCAGAATGCGCCTCGTCACGAACTCCCATCCCGCTCCTTCAGCCGAAACCGTAAATAACTGTCTCCTTCAACTTTACATATTTTAAATCAGATACTCACAACGAAGAATCCAACCCCTACCTACATTTCCAACCACTATGTCTACTGATTCGTGATTAAAACAGAAGAAGGGGTTGAACGAACGATGGTGAAGGAACGAACTAACGAAATCATTTTTTTGATCGTATTCAGATCTGCTACAAGCCGTGTGAATAGGAAATGGCGTATTAGGGTTTGGGCCGTCGGCTCTTTGTACTTGTGCCACTGGTGAAGACAGGGATTGCTTCCTCCATAAGGCCTGTTGCGGTTGCTAATGCTTCTGCTCTCCCGCCCACACGCTTTTGGAAGTGGAACCGTGTTCTGCAATGGGTAAGCGATGCCTATGCTCCTTGCAAGAATTTTTGGTCCAATTCTCTCATGCATGGGAGCCTGGCGGATAGACTTGATCGAAGTTTGCGGAACAGAACTCTAGGTTATGGGTTTAGATATGTTCGTTTTTAATTTTCTTTTGTGATGAGCTGCAGCCAAAATTAAAGTGCATGAGCTCCGCACTAAGAGCAAGAATGAACTACTTAATCAGGTATGGTACTTCACTTCCGACCATTCTCTCGTCTTAGTGCTCTCATCGGGGGACTTGGCGTTCACAGGAAGTATCTCCTGCAGTTGCGGATGTAGATTGCCTGATCAGAAATGCCCGAAGGATATTTTTCTTAGTATCTAGGTAGTTCTCGTACCTTCATTTAACGGATTCATGGGGCGTCTGAACACAGCTCAAGGAGCTAAAAGCTGAGCTTGCTGCTCTGAGAGTCGCAAAGGTCACTGGAGGCGCTCCTAACAAGCTGTCTAAGATGTACGCTTCTCTCGTCCTCCCTTGGTTGATTGTATTGCTGTGAAATATTCTTCATGGCCGGTTGTGTTAACTTGAGCGTCTAATTCTCAGCCTGAAAAATCTTTTAATTTAGAAATAACCTATGAAAACAAGGAATGAGGTACACACTTGACGTATCGAGCGCGTCGGATCCCTGTTACTGATTCTACAGTAACCGTAATGTGATTGAGGCTAATTTCACACTTACGGTTTTTCCTTGAGGAGTATTTATAAAAAAAATAAGGGTTTTCACCTTCTCACTGGGTTCAGTCCCGTTATTTTAATTCTTATTCTCGTTAAATTATACGTGATTCACTGATTATGCAATATCACACAGCCTAAACCCTAAGCTGATTTCTATTGCGCTATCCTTGAATTTATATTTTCAAGTGCTGATGTCATGGCTCTGGTTGTGCAGCAAGGTGGTTAGGCTGTCGATCGCACAGGTTTTAACTGTCATTTCTCAGACACAGAAAGCTAGCCTTCGCGAAGCATACAGCAAGAAGAAATTTATTCCTATTGATTTGCGCCCAAAGAAAACTCGCGCTATTCGCAGAAGGTTGACCAAGCACCAGGTTTGTTCTCGACCTTACTCCTAGAGAAATTGGCATTTAGTATCCGACTGTACAGGTTGTGACATGATGTCGTTGATAGCTTCGTTGCCGTTCTTGTCAGCAATTACGTCATGTGGCGTGCTAATGTACCTCCTGTTGTACCGATAATTAGTGTTCGTTGTTCTGAAAATGATGTCATTGTTTGTTCAGGCGTCAATGAAGACTGAGAAGCAGGAGAAGAAAGAGGCATACTTCCCCATGAGGAAGTTCGCAGTTAAGGCTTAGAAGTTTCTGTCTAGAATGTTATTGGCCTGTCAGGGCTCCTTAATTCAAATTTGCGAAATTCCTTGGTTTTTGTGAGGCCGAAAATGTCTCAGAGCGTTCCTTAGACTAAAGTATTTCCATACCATAAGTGTTATTTACTTATACCTCTAGATCTGTTGTTCCTTTAAAGCGTTGTCTGGGATCAGGGTTGGCTTGCGGCGCAAGTCGTTTCTACAATGATTTTAAGTACTGAATAATGCCTTTCAATCTATGGTGGTCATCTAACTAATACTGCTCATGTTATGAATAACTTCTACTGTCTAATTTTGAACCTGCCTGCGGTACGATCTCTTGGATATCTTTGCCCAGCATATTATCGCCTCTACTCGACAAGCTGTTGCTTTGAGACCTCATTGTTCTCAATTAATTCGTACCCGTGCTCTGAATTTATGTCTCAATTAGAAGACCTCGACGCTTGAAGAAAATAATTATCACAAGAAAAATCGAACAATTGAGTTTTGCCAAAACTAATCTTCGTGACTGTCACGATCCACTCATTTATTTTACGTTGTACTCAAGGATTCAATTGTGGTGTGCTATGACGGAGTGTCAGCATTGCATGAGATGAAATTGTGGAACGTGAATCATTGAAACACCGTCGATTTATCCTATCGGAAACATTGGGACCTTGAATCCTATAAATGCATAAATTGTTAACAGCTGGTAATCAAATCGTACCAATCCGAAAAGACCTTAGAAAGAAGGATTTGGATTGTTCTTTTACTGGGAACATCTCTTCTTTGCTCTCCTGAGAACGCTTGCCCTCACAATGGCAACAGCATTTTGTCTTAACTGATCCATCCACCTGTAATAGCTGAATATTACTTTTTTATCATGATGATGGAAGATAAGATAAATTCACAAATTGAATCATCAAATAAATAGAAAAAGAAATTTACGAATTCTAAGGCAAGGAAAATTTATCTATCAAGTTTAGCTGTTTAATCTTTTCTTTCTGAACATCTTTGTATTAATGAAGAAATTGATTAAGGGTAGTTCCTTGAAAGTTATATTGTTAAATTTTTAGAGAACAGCCATCCATCTAGATAGTGCAGTAGTTAATAGGGCTCTCCAAGCATTTCATAATTTCCATTTGTTGAATTCATCAAGAAATGCACACATGATTCTTTGGGTTCTATCATGGTTTGATAAGAATATTGAAGAAATATTATAAGTAAGACACAAGTAGAAATCAAAAATATTGCATGCAAAATAAATTTAGAATGAGATGTCCTTCACTTCCATCACCCTTTACTTATAGGAGGAGTTTATATCTATTGCAGTTAAACTTCATCTATAATCATCTTCATCCAGCTTTGCTTCAACTAACTAAATCTTAGATTCTTCTTAATCTAGCTACCACTTAAAATCCTAGTCACCATATTAGTAACTTACCTTCACTCTTTTATTATCTTTTTATTATTAGTAACTTACATAAAGTAATAGTATCTTATTCTTAATTTAACACTCTCACTTTGCTATTGGTCAAAGACTTTTAAACCTAATGCTTTTATCAACTTTTGATGCCTATCTTTTACTAGTGCTTCTTTTAGCAAATGAGCAAGCATATCTTCTATTGCATAATGCTTCACAAAGTGATCTTAAATGTAGTAATATTGAATGTCAATATAATTGATTCTTAAATGATGCTTTAGATTCTTTGCAAAAGTAAGATATCCTTGGTTATCACATTTCATTGGAGTTGCTTCCAAGTGTACAAGTCTAATATCTTTTAAAACTTGTCTTAGCCAAATTGTCTCTATTATACAATGACTTGTTGTCATGTATTCTACCTCCATTGTGGGCCTTGTAATTATTGGTTATCACTTACAATTCTATGGAATTGTTTCTACTCCAACAAAGAATACATATCTCATTGTTGACCTTTTATTATTTGCATCTCCAATCCAATCCGCATTATAATAACCATGTGATGTAATATTATCTCCTTCAAGACATAATTTGAAGTTCACATTACCTTTCAATTACAAGCACAAAACTAATCAGAGTAGTTAGGTTGCAATGGAGCCAACGCATCATCATGCATTATATTATATGTGACATAATATTATAACCGCAACTAATTAGGACAAGAAACAACAACAACAATGGCACTCCAAATCGATATTGGCATTCTCCTCCAAATATGACCTCCATCAATGGACACACATTTAAAACAATCCTCCACCATTCTCATTCTTTTCTACATTCCATAGCAAAAAAATTCTAAAGCCTTCAAATTGACAACAACAAGCTTATTATAATGATTGCCACTACTCTATTCTTTGAGCTCATCCAAATCTTGTTCCGTACCACTATAACTATCCATGAATATTATACCTCTCATTGATTATAATACAACACAATTACTTTGTGATTATAAAGCCAAATTCTACTTGACAAATCTACCTCCTTCCATCTTGAGTCATAGATCAAATACACTCTAACTTCTTTCTACTACCACCTTTTCTACTTCTATATCCCATTCTTCACTATTCCATGCAAAAATATCTCCATTTCTTCCATTGCCATCACCATTTTCCTACTGTTGCCTTCATCAATCCACATTACAATATCTACATGTAAAATCAGATAAAAAAAAAGTGAGATCAGAAATGTTGAGCAACTTAACAACATATAGATATGATCAAGATAATGGTTGAGCAAAACATCATAGAATGTAAGAGTAAAAAGAGCTGGAAAGGACCTAACAGAGTGACTTGAGACATTTATACCATAATGTTTTTGTGGGAGTTGGAATAAATTGGCTATCACCATTTTATAATAATTTGTATTCTTGAAGAATTCTAATTTTTTTTTCTTATATAAAATATTTTTTTGCCACCTCATGCATGTTGATCATTCTTTTTGATAATTCTTTTCTATATGTAGTGACATTTTTTTTTTTTTTTTTTTTTTTTTTTTTTTTTTCATGCCTTGATATAAAGTTATCTTACTAGGCAAAGTAGTTCCCTTTCAATGTTGATAATAAATTGGCCTTTCTCTCAAGGTATGTCTTTCCTTGTTACAACCATTATATGTTGCTCATATCATGACCATTCAAAAGATTCTTGTAGTTCAATTTCTACAAGTGCCCCTTGATTTTTCTCACCAAAGATTTATGCAAGGACCATTTTTTCTTTTTCAAAGTATGCTTGAGATCAATTTATTTGGCCACAACTTTTACATTACTTTAAATTGCATTATAAGGATTTAATTGTCTTTCATATCTATAATCTATATATTAAGATTGCTAATAGAAGCAAGTTATGGCTCTCCTTCACTACATGAATTCTTCTTAGTTTTCATCAAAAAATTTTACATTGTTTAGAGTTCATAGGCCAAGTTTTCATTAACTATTAATTCTCTTTATATTTAATTACTAAAGTTTAAGTGAAATACAAATCTGTGTCATAAAAAGCATGTTATTGTCATAGATCACATGCAACATTGGTATTTCATCAATAAAATGTTGATTGTGATGAACCACTATTATATTGCGTGGTTTTCTATCTAGGAATACACTGGGTACTTAGGTGTAGAGAGTTTAGTTTTAATTTATTGGCCAAGCTCTAATAAGTTATTTAACTTTAAAAGTAAAAGATAAATAAATACTACAGTATCAAAAAGATATTGTACTAATAAATCCTTTTATATTTAAGAAGGTTTGTGGATAAGGCTTTCTAAAATATGTAGAAATTTTCTAACATTCTTGGCTATACCAAATCATAGCTAACCATTTGTTGATAGATTAGGTTTTCAATAACTTCAAAAGAAATCTACAATCTCTTCTCAAAAGCTCATCTGTATATAAAAATTCAACCATAGCTCCATACATCCATCTTCAACATATATATAAAGTCTTGGCTCCCAAAATACTCCTTTAATTTGTATAAAATGCTCAAGTTATAATAAAATATCTTCAGAATATAATATTCCCACAAAAGTTTTCTTCTTTGTGAACTTTAAAAATTCATATCTCTTGATCCAACTATTCATATTTTTCCAAATTCACGGATATTATAGAATTCACCCTTAAGCTTTATCTTACAAAAATTCAACTATAATTTTACTACCGATTATTTGGCATCTTAAAAATCCTAGTAGGTGCTCTAAAATCCTAATTCACAAGCACCTAAGTACTATTTTCTTCATATCTCACAAATCCAAAACTCAAATGCCACAAATCTTATATACAAAGTTTTATTACATAAAAATATATATTTTTAGAAATTATTAACCAAAATCTTATTAAATTACACAAGATATAGCTCAAAATACAACTACTAGCAATTCGGGTCACTTACAACTCCTTAGATTCCAAATGTTGACTTCAACTTCCAATAATTCCTTCATCCTAGCTTAGAGTTCATTAAAAAATATATATAAAATATAGCAAAAAAAATATTCTTTCCAATCTCAATTGCTGATCCTTTGTTGCTTTTTGTATGCGTGCGTTATATCCAAAAGAATGACATTAGGTACAAAATCAACACCTTGACTTTGATATAAAATCCAAATGACTCAAAATCATATCTCTTTCATATAAAATCCAAATGACTCAAAATTTGTACCAAAATCGTAGCCAAAAACCTAAACTTACTAATCTTAGCCTCCAAAGCTCAAATGATTCTAAAAAATTAATCCTAATCTCTAATATGGCCTCGGGCACTCTCCTTGAAATCCATTGGTCATGATTTTTGACCAATAGGAATGGATATTTTTATCATCTATCTCCATTCATCCATATGGATGTCCTAACTTTTCTTTTTTGCTACCAAGAGCCTTCTCCAACCCTCTTTCTTATAATATTTATATAATATATGCCCTAAATATCAAATAAAAGAAACAAAATAAGACTTTAAGGATCACCAATATCTAAAAAAGATGACTCTAAATATTTAAAAGTTACTTTTAATAAGATCAACTTCAAAGTCACTATCAAAAGATAAATAAAGTTATATAAATTTTAATAGAAGCCCTTTTAAAAAAACCTCTTTTTGAGGTAGTAATCTATCCATATCCTATAATCAACAAAAATCTACTAACATGGCTCTCACCATATTATCTAGTATATTTTACATTAAATATATAAATATATTTTTTTACATATTAGCCAAACTACAACATGTCACTGCAAAAGCTCTAGTTTTGAGAGACAAATTTTTTAAAAAAATCTCTTAATAGTGCCTCTCATTTAATACTCGTGCTTGCATTCAAAGCCTCATT